CCTGGCACAAAATACCTGCAGTCTCCATTCTAGTTCCTTTTTTGGTTTAACCAATTATATATTTAGGATCCTATATGTGCCTATAAGGTACCCCCAAAAAAAGGAACTACAACGGAGCCCATAGGTACCTCCGAAGTGCCGGCACTCTCGTCCTCGGCAGGCCTCAATCCCACTGGATGGCTTCAGCTGCTACAGCTACGGTGCCTCACTACCAACTTGGTACGATTGCTCTTTGAGCTTGGTGAATGTAGAAGCCTTAGTGTGATTACCGAGTTTATTCCTCAGGGTTCCTTGTGCTACATATACAATAATTGGAGCCCAAACCCTTACCCTGCACCCTAAGCCCTTATAGCAGCCTGCAAAGAACCCTTTCAGGAACCCTTTAAAGGAACCCCCAAACCCTTATTCTAATTACAAAGGCCTCAACAATAGGTTGCACCACCTCTGCCCCTAAACCCAGAACCCTAAACCCTAAACCCTAAACCCTAAACCCTAAACCCTAAACCCTACTGCCCCTAAACCCAGCGGCCCCAAGCCCTGAACCATCCTGAACCCTAAGTCCCTAAGTCCCCAACCCCAAACCTCCGAAACCCACCCTTAACCCTATGAAGCTTCTTTCAAGAAGTAACAAGGCCATAACATATATATATATATATACATACATGTTTTATTTCTGTTTATTTTTCTTTATATATATATATATACACACACTATATTCATGTGTGTGTATGTATATATATATATATATATAATTATATATTTATCAGTTCACGTATTTAATTGTTCAGTTTAGGTGTTTACTTACAACCCTCTATACGGCTTATATTGAGTGAACTCTGCCTATGGCACCCGCTGAGGCGAGCCAGAAACAACCCTGCCACCGCGCGCCGGGCAGTGGGAGGCTTTCACCTAGAGTTTAGGGTTTAGGGTGCCTGGTTCTTAGTAGGGAAGGGCTAAGAGCCAGGGAGAAAACTGACATTTTTCAAGGCTTTGGTTTAAGGATCGGGGTCAGGCATCGGCGCTTGAATACTGGCATTATCGAACTGATGTTGCAGGTTACGCCAGCTTATCGCAAGTTTCAGAGTCTTTAGGGTGGCGCCGAGGGCACAAGGAGCATTGCCGGTGGCATCGGTCTGTAACAAGTGCTGGAGAAAGCTTTCCTGCCTGCTTCGCAGTGATGTGCATGGTGCATGTTCGCATATGTGCATGAGTGCATAAGCATTTTTCCATCGGGCGAAGAAATGGGAGTTTCCGAAAATGAGGGTACCTTATTTTGGGGTCCTTATAATGAGGATCCTACTATTTAGGGTACTGTATTAGGGTCCCCTCTTTTCGGAAACCCCCAAATCTGTGCTCTTTCTTGTGTTTGAAAGGCTGTCGATGGTGCCACGAATCGTGCATGCCGGGGTGCCAGTGCCTTGGACCACACTTCGCAATATCCATCTGGCCCCCCCAAACCCTCTGAACCCTATAATATTCACCGTAAACCCCACACCCTACACCCTAAACACAGGCATTCGAGAGGCTTCGTGGCTTTATGCTGTGCCGATGTCCGGTTACAATTTCCCTCCCGCCCCTTCACGTCCTCTTGTTTAGGGTTTAGGGTTTAGGGTTTAACTTAGGGTCCTCTTTGCTTTCGCCATCTACTCCCGCAGCGCAAAGCAGTCAACCGATTTGGAGGATCTGTAACTCCTTAGACGCATCGGGTTTGGGGATCTTGAAACCTCCAAAACCACTATGAAGTAAACCACCTATAAACCCTACAAACCCCATAATTAAACCCGACAGGCCCTAATCCTGATAAGCTCTACAAGCCCCAAGCCCTAAACGGTTTCGGGCCGACATTCCGCTCGGCTTTCAAGAGCCGAATCTTGCAAGGTGGCGGCGACAACTCCGCTGACCACTACTCCGTGGTCCAAGGTGGGACGGCTTGGGGTCTACTATAGGGGGTTTTATAATTGCCTATATTAATTTGGGGGTTCCTTATTATGTTTGTAGTATAATATATCTTAAAACCCGATTCTAGTTATTAAGGCCCCTACATTAGGGTTTAGGGTTTACTCCGTGGTCTGAGGTGGGTCTTAGGGATTAGAGGTGGCACGGTTTTCTTGCCGAATACCGTAAACCTTAAGACCCTCGACCCTGTAAACCTGAAACCCTTGCCGCATTAATAATAACAGTTTTTTTATGAAGCTTGAGCCCTAAGCTTCCCCAAACCTAAACCCTAAACCCCTAAACCCTAACCCTGCAGGACTCTTTACGCTTGCCGACTGCCAAGCCGAATGCACCCGGCAGCCTGATTGCCAAGGCTCCGGCGAGCAAGGGTTTCGGGTTTAGGCCTTGAGTTTTGGGCTTAGGGGGGGCCTGGGGTTTAGGATTTAGGGGTGTGCGGTTTGAGGTTCGGGGCTTTGCTGGGTTAAATTAAGGATTGAACTTTCAGGGATGGGGGGTTCAACTTTGCCGAGTATGTTTTGGGTCTCGCGTCTTGAGCATCGCAGCATCTAACCTATCAAGGTTTAGTGTTTCAGACTTTCGGTTCCGACTGTTTTGGGCACAAGCAGCCGGCCGAGTACTTTGTGGCCCAAGCTTCCGAAATTGAAGTACGTAGCGAAGATGTTGTGACATCGTCGTGTCGTTGGGTTTTGCGTAACCTTAAAGCGAGCAAGACCGTCTGCAGAGCAGTATCGCGTGACTTCGTGAGCATTTGGACCCGTGCCCGGAACCCTCACCCCAAAAAGGAATACACCCCTATCACTTATCTGTGAAGCCCTTCTGCGCTTAGGCTACTGCTACACCCTCAAGTGAAGGTACTCAGATCCAAATTGCAATGCCGCAACTTTTTAAGCCTCGCCTACAAGGAAGCAAGACCCAATTTCACCACGTCAACGTCAGTTTGTTGCTCACTCCAGGGTTCCTTGCTCGCACAGGTGTGGAATTCAGCCCAAACCGATGCGAGATTTGGACTCGAGCAGAAGGCCACTGTAGTTCACAGTTCTAATGCAGAAGCCTGAATAAAACTAATACTATTTTAGGGTTCCTTTTTTATATTTATATATGGTATAATCTACCCCAAAATCTCTCTTGAAATTATTTAGCCCCCATAGTACCTCCGTCATCAGAGACCCCAAGGTCCTTCCACTGAAGGTTCCGCATTTCATGGAAGGCTCAGTTGAATATTAAGTTATGAAGCCTATCAGTAGTGTAATTAAGGGAATATCGCTTAGCTGAGACATTTGGGCAGTCCCTGGTGTTTTGGATGCTCCGGGATTCCAGGAGATTTATGGTAGGATCTCCGAGGGGTTTAGGGGTCACGGTCTCGGTTGTCGTGGCTAGCTCGCAGATGCACGTTGTCTTCCAAGGTGTAGAGGTGCTGTCAGCATGGAGAAATCTGGAAGTTCCCAAAGAACTCATTGATGACAACATCGCTGCTAGCACTAAGTATATGACAGTGTATGTAAGTAGTTCTCTAAATTAGGGTCCCTTTTCAGGTCCCTCACAATAGTACGGCGCCCTTATAAAAAGGACCCTACAAGGGACAATGTATTAGAGAACTACCCACATTGCGGTGCATGCCCATTCCGTACTTGGAGGGTCGGAGGGCTTAGTAAGTAGGTAAATAAGTAGACGTATAGGTACCCTAAACGGGATTCTATTTGGGGTTCTGGTACCTATCAGTCTTTACAGTAACTCCTTACTAAGTCCCCCGACCCTCCAAGTATCTCTTTTGTATTCAGTGCCGGTCTTGCTTCGATCTCACACATGGCTTCTGGCATGCTTTTGCTTTCTTTGCACAGGTCTGTAAAGTGGCATCTACTGCGGCAGATAATACATCCTCTCATGCATTTGTGTCGAAGAGATTCAGCCTGAGAAACACCATCCAATCAATTGCAAGATCTCAAAATAGAGGCATCTGAACAAATAGAGATAAAGTTATCTGAAGCGCTCCCTACATAGTTTTATTTTTAAAAGGTCCCTCTTCCAAACCAGAGAAAGCGTCTAATGGTCCCAATCTTGGAAACTTGTCCCCAAACCGCCGAGGCCCGTCCTGACCCGAGAGTGACCATGATTTACATCATCAGGGTTTTGGGTTTAGGGTTTAGGGTTTAGGGTTTAGGATTATAGTAGACCCCATAAAGTTGGAAGCCGGGTTAGGGACAAATAGTGCTGGGATTCCCTATACATTACTCTTAAGGATGGAGGCTATTGGGTTTCCAACCTTTTTGGCTTCTACTGTAGGAACTTCGAGTCATCAGTTGCATCGGTTGGCTTGATTGGTTTTCACTATGGCCTGTATCCCCGAGCCTCCATCTTCCCTAGTGCCGCTTAGGCCTTGCTCGCACCCTGAAATAAGAAGTGTGAAGAATGATCTCCTCGTCGTACTCTTCCTTTCCTGTACTACAAGGTATCCCAAAACCCTAGTCTAATGGGTAACGCCCCTATTTCGAGGCATCCAGGCCTCTGCGCCGGTCTCGGGCTACAGCTGCTATCGCTTCCTAGATCCAAGATTCCCGGCTTCAAGTCTTTGGGTTTCGGGCCACCGTAGAGGTATGCCGTATCCGTTCTCATGCTATCTTCGAAGGCTTGTCTGTTGTTGCCTTCGTTTTGTTTGTGCCGAGCTTTGAAGCTGAGCTCGCACTCAGGTATGTCCACGACGACTCCTTACCCTCCTGGATCGTTTGAAGCAGCCACTCCTCTTGACATTGGGTTGAGGGTTTCAGGTTTCGGGTTTGGACACCGGGGTTGGCGGGCGAATAGGGCGTGGGACGGAATTGTTGTCTGCAGAGTACCCCGGCGGAACCCAACTGTCAGATCCTTCTTCTTGCGCGGTCTTGACAGGCAACCCCCACATTCAATATATGGGTGGTTGTCAAAAGTTATGGTCCCTTTAAGTGTCCATATTATAATACGGCACCTATTATTTAGGGTACCCCAAAAGGGACCATAACTTTGACAACTTCCCATATCAAAGCCTCGGTGTTTTTGCAGACCTCGTACTGCAGGTGAACGGCGGCAAGGACCAAGCGTGCCGAGGAGCAAGTGCAGCGGACAACAGGCCCTGTTTGCATCGTCCCGGACCGCCGAGAGACTTTTGTGAAGCAAGAACGCTGGAGAAGTGCGGCTTGCTAGTTCAAAGTGGAGAGAATCTGTTGCTGTTAGATTGAGTTCTGCATTGGCCGATGTGCCGCTATGTGGAGGCCAAGCTACTTCGATGTCATCCACGACGTCTCTAGCATTACATCCTGCAAGGCCGAGTGCATGAAGCAGGCCTCCTGCACCGGAATCGCTCCTCGGCTGCGGCTTCGGTGCAAGCCAGGCTAGGCCAGCTAGGACGTGTTGTTTGCAGGTTGCTGTGCTTCCCCGCTTGCCGAATGAATGTGCGTGCCACCGTCAAGCTGGGTCCACTTAGAATAGGGTGAATGAAGCCAAGACAATGACAGTAGCTTCCACATAGAAGTTGCATCAATTTTCAGCAACACATCTCATTGCTGAATATTGCCGTGCATCGCGAGACGCCATGAGCTCCTCGAGTCCCGTGTCAATGCTGTCACTGCTTCACGATGCCATGGAGGCCGCTGTGAAACTCGAGCAGGGAGTGAAAGTAAAGGACGCGTGCCGTTCTGCTCGAGAGAACATAGCGACGATGGAAAGGAACAAGATCATCAGCCAGCACAGTTCTAGCCAATGCCAGGCCATGTTGGAGAAGCTGGCAATGGTCGGGGATGTGTTGCCCCCGCTTGTGCGAGCGGCGAGAGCTGGAATGAAGCAGTCCCACATGCAAGCAGTCTTGGATTTTCTCGCAAAGGCACCCAGCGCTGGACGACTTTTCGCCAAGAAGCAGCTATTAGAGGATGAAAGTCACCGGCGTAGGGATTGGAAAGCAGTCGCCGATGAATGGAAAATGCGCAAAGACGACTTATATGAAGTGGTTGGCGGGCATCGTGCTACAGTTGAAGCCGCAATGATCCTTGCGAAGACTGGCGGCGATGGCCCTGGACTTGCGAAACCACCAGACTTGACAGAGTTTCTTGCGGAAGTGATGCGTGTGCAGTTGCGATGTCATCGTTATTATAGTCGGCCAGACACTTGCGATGCATATGTTTTATCAAGATATATGAGGACGTTGCACTCGATGCACGAATCCATCACGAAGGAGTTGTGTTGGCTCGGTGCATCCAATGAAACTGTTTTTTGATGATCTGCTCGAAATTCTTATCGCCCCAGGAAGCTTGAGCACTTCGTACCGCTTGAACATGTAGAGCAGCGTCTCTAAATCTCACAATTTGTATTTGTATGTAAACTAACCCAAATTCGCTTTCCGGCGTTGTGCCATTTCATTGCTGTTGATCCAGGAGCTGGAGGGGATGAGTTCAGAAGACAAGAGTACAGCCTGTCGCATGCTATCATTGCAGCTGTGTTTGCCTGCGATCACCTTCAACAGCTCCTCTGGCTGTGCCTTGCACCCTCGGCACGGCCTTCCATCTTGCGAACAGTGCCTGGCACTTGCCAAAGCAAGCTTCGAGAAGGAAGCGGGAGAATCTGGCCGCTTGCCTTGGTTTCCCTGTCCTGCAGAAGCCGTTGGCATCGCGACTGACCTGAAAAACATGGCTCCACAGATCAACTACTTGCTACATCACATGCGAAGCGAGAGTTGGGACCCGGACTTGATCGCTCGAGAGATCCTGTTTAAAGAGAAGATCTTCTGCAAAAGCTTTTTCGAGAAGCTGCGGGGTTGCGAAGATTGCACACAGGTCCTCAAACTCGCTCTGGTCGAGGAGGAGAAGCAGAAATGCCAGGCGGTTCGTGATTTACGCAACTTCGTGACGGGCAGTGTCAACTCCAATGAGTTGAAGATGCCCAAGGTGCAGGCTTTCTTCGATGAGCTGAAGGTTGGGCTGTTGGATGCAGATCTGCTCAAAGTCATGTCATCAAAAGACGAGCACATCAGCTGGGGCGAGACGGACTTCGTCAAGCAGGCGATAGGTGACATCCTCAGTGCGACCAGGCCAGGACGGAATTGGCCGATGTAGTCCTTGTAGTCCAGAGTTCTACGGTCCCTACTATCTACGATCTGCGCATGGGCTTTTAAATAGACTCGCCAGGACAGTTCGCGACAGTCCAGATAGCAGCACCTCTCATTGTAACCGTCGATGTCTCGGTCTAGCAGCCCATGGTCGAAGGCTTACCTTAAGCTTTGAGCCTTATCAATGTGTGGCCATACATTTCTGCAGGCACTATGCCATTTCCAACCAACCGGCTCTTCTCGATGATGCTGCCGGCTTGCTCAAGCCGGAGGACTGGCACACAGCTCATACTAGGAGTGAGTTTGTGATGTTGTCGTTCTGCTGCATACGTTTGTTCTCTTCACCAGCCTCATCGTGGGGGGTGCAGGTATTGCGATCGCTGTTGCTGTTGCTGTTGCTGCCACGCCTGCTGCGGCACGGGTGCTAACCGCCACCCTACCTGTCGCCCCAAAAGCCTTCCTTTCTAAGGAAGTTCATTTCGAAACCATAGCAAGGATCGCTACAAAGGCAGGTTTTTTCGGCTACAGGCAGTGCTAAGCGGGAAGCCCTGAGGTCCTGGAGGAGCGGCTCAAGGCTGAGCGACGAGCCCTGGATGCCGACTTCGAGCGCCGCGTGCGGCAGCGCACAGAAGGCTGCGACTTCAGCCGCCGAGCCCCGAGTGAACTCTTTTTGGTAGGCCCCATGAAGGAGATATCAAGCCTACCAGAAGACCTCAACAGAGCATAAGGCATAAGGGTACACATGGTACCACCTTCTTCTGTCTATCCTTCCCGGCATAATAAGGTCGGGCCGCCGAGGAGAAGGCCTCGGAGGCGGAGAAGCAAAGCCAACGCCTCCAGGCTCAGCTGAAGGAGCGGGAGGAGGAGTTCAATCGGCATCGAGCGGAGAATGAGGCGCTCAGGCGCAAAGCAGAGGAGCAGGCCTCCTACATTCAGTCCTTGGAGACGCAGCTTCAAGAGTCTCAAGCGAAGCAAGAGGCCGAGCAGCAAAAGTTTTTTCAAATTCGCCGCTATGTAGATAAGATTTCTCAGATAACGGCGGCATGAGTTACTGCCAGCATATACTTCAATTGGACAAAGGCTTCGCTGTTGAACAGGTAGGTGAACCCTCATTCGAAGCCAACTTCTTGAGCGTGTACAAGCAATGCTGGCAGCAGCTCATATACTTTGGGCAGCCGGCTGGCGAAGCCGTGGGGTTTGCCAAGATGATTCGCATGGGATGCCATGCAGCTTTGATTGAAGTCATGGTCTTCCTAACGCACATTGACACATGACATGAGACTACTACGCGTACTTTGGGTGCTAATGGTCAATGTGGCAGGTGTTTGACACCTTGGAAAGCAGATGCCGGGGCGAAGCATCTGGCCGTGTCAGCGTTTCGAGAAACTTAGACCCACTGAAAGTACACATTCACATTGTTGGTCTTTAAAAGGTTGTGTAAAGGACTTCCCAACAGGCCATTATCATCATAATCATCCTAAATGTATTGTTCCTTGTCAGGCATTTTCAGGAGAGGGGAAGTTCGGGAACAGTTAGCATGAAGCAAACCTCCTGCGCCGGAATCGCTCCGTGGCTTCAAGCTCCAACTATGACTCACGGTTGAGGGTTTAGGGCTTATAGCTTTTAGGGAGTAGTGTGTGACGTCCAGTCCTCAGCATAG